TATTGCTCATGGTGACATGTGAGAATGGAAAAACCCAGTTTGGCTTGCAGATCTGAGGCTGAAGTGGGAGGAAAGAGCCTGATAAACTTGTAAATGTAGCAAATTAAATGAGGAATTTGTGACGCACAATAAATATGGAATCCCACTACACAATTTAAAAAAAAAAAGCCATTTAAGGGAGTGTAGCAAATAATTCCTGATGTTTGTTGCATGGCAAGACCTTATGCTGATGCTAATTTATTTTGAATTACTACTTCTGCTATACTGCAAACAGCAGATGGGAGGAGTACATACATATTGTAAGCAAAATAACATTAAGTAAGCTTGAGTTGAGATGCTTTTTTATTTTTAATCTAATACCGCATAGTAAAAACACAATGGGCGTAGTTTTAAGTTGATTTTATATAAATAGTAAGCCACATAATGACAGTTAACCTGTATTCTAAACATGGAACAGAAAACAGTGAAGTAACGTCTAGATCAGTTCTATGGAAGTAAAAGCAGCCTTTGAGGGATATAGTGAAGGAAACTTAGTACTATAAGGTGATAACTGTAGGATTGGTGTGTAATTACTTCAACCTGATTTACAGGAAGTTTGTAGAAATTGAAAGAAAAATCACTGAGAGGTGTCTTGTGCTCTTAGTATGTACCAAACCATAAAATATCAGTACTTACTTCAGTATTAGATGAACATACAGTGTCTTGACATGGTTCATTACACTTTTAATTAAGAGCTCTTTTTCTTGCAGATGTTTTCTTTTACTCAGCTATTACATTAGAGTTTGCTGTTAACAGCACAATAGTGGGGAAAAAAGGAACCGGGGTTCTGGTGACTTTTTGTTGCATGATCAGCCCCTTGAAAGTACTCTACAGCCAGGCCCTGACAGGAATTCATGGCTGCAGAGCACTTTAAAAGTGTCTGCTCACACAAAAAATTAACCCTCATATAAGGAGCGTTCAGATGATGCTCCAAAGCAGAGCATCTTCATTAACTTCTGTCAGTCCCTGTGTGCGAGCAGAACTGTCTGCAGGAAGGGGAGAGGGGGAAGTTAGGAGGAGGGAGCTGCGGGCCAGGGTTTGCCAAGCCTTCCCTGAAGGGGGTGGGGAGTAAATTGGATTCCCCCTGTGTCGGGACTCTCCAATCTACCCACCCCCACTCTAGTGCAGGCTGGGCAATTCCCAGCCTGCAGCTGTCTCCCCCCTCTCTTCCCCTCCCATCCTACAGACAGCACCAGAGCTGGGAGGGTGGGCAGGGCTAGGGGAGAGAGTCTGCATACAGACCGTCTCTCTCTTCTGGATTGGCTCTGACGTGTAGCTTGATTTTTTTTTTTTTTTTCCATCCCCCCAACTGAAACAATGAATGTCTGTTGGGTCAGGGGGCCAGGGGATCGCTGTAGCTCATAGTGCTTTCTGTGAAGTACTGTGAGTTACAGTGGGGATCTGCATGTCTGTCAGCACCCAGATTTTCATTGTGAATTAGTACAGGTGGCTTATTCTGACTCCAAAAATAATCTGCCTGATTAGTAAAGAGCAAAGAGAATGAGAAGATGCTAAACCTACATGTTGTCAAATTTTGCCAAAGTCTTTTTATAGGCATTTTTCTAGCTGTTGCTCATATGTAGGGGATGTTTTCAACTTATAGGTTAACAACAACTTGACAGTGATAAATGATTAGTTAACAAAATTAATTGATGATATGTCAATTTTATATCATCAGTTGCAGAGTTCCTAGCTCTTGTTACAGAGGTGATTGTAGGGCAGAAATAAGTGACTTATTCTTAAGTTTTCATTTCCCTTGTTATTGTTGTCTGTAATATATAAATCAAAACATGCTTGTGGAAGATGAAATGTCTTTTGTTTTCCAGAAGTTGAAATTAAAATAGCACTAATGGAGTATGCTTCAAGACAAGGCAAGAAAAAACTCCTGGGAGATGGCATGAAAATGTAGGGAAGAACATTCCCTGCATGAACATGTGAAAACATAGGATAAGTGTGGGACTTTGATAAGCATCCATTTGAATTAGGAGCACTAGTCTCATTGAAAGTCTGTGGTGCTTTTCAAAACTCCACCTAAATTCCTATTACAGGATCATCTGTATGCACCACTTCAGAGGGACTTTCGTGAAACTGTCAGGAGAAACTGTTAACTTTAAGTAATCATTGTGGTTCTTCACATGGTTCTTCCTCTCCCCTTATATAATGTAATATGGTAATTGAGATCCAGCTGGACCCTTGTATTAAATATTAGGGCTGTGCGAAGTTTCAGGTGGTGATTCAATTCGGAGGAGACTCGTCGGCCGAATCTCTGAATCCAAATCGAATCAGAGGACCAATTTAAAGGTCCGAATCGATTCAAAGCTCTCCAAATCTTTGGAAAAGATTCAGAGAGCTTTGATGATTTGGGCAGTCCCTGGTGGCTGCAGCAGGGAATGACTCCAAGCTGGTAAGTAGGGGGTGGGGCTCAGGGGGGACCCCTGCCAGCCCCCATCCCTTGCCTGCTCTGCCCCAGGCCCCCCCATGGCTGCCCTTGCCCCAGTTCCCAGCATTCTAGAAAAAAGCCCCACTCAGCAGATGCAGTGGGGGGAAGCAGGGATCACCCCCCGCCCAGCAGCACCCCCTGAGTCAGGGCTGTTTTTTTCCCCCCCCAAGTGCTGGGAGATGGAGCGAGTGGGGCAGCCATTGCCAGGCTAGCAGGGGTGGGCCTGGCTGATTTGGAGATTCGGCAGCAGCAAAATCTCAAAATCAGATTCAGCTGAATTGATTCTGGACGGTGATTCAAATCACCGAATCAAATCACTGTCCCCCGAATTGGCCGAATCTGAAGTGAATACTAGCCGCTTCGCACAGGTCTATTAAATATTTCACCCCTTATTAATTTAAAAACAAAGGATATGATAGATGGGCCTTTGCAGCTGTGGTGTATGTAGTTTTGTGAATTATAAAGATTATGTATTTCTGGTTCTTTCTCTGCTTGGCAGGGTCCACACCTCTGAAGTTAAATGCTGAAACTGAAGCTATGAGCGAAAAAACTGAACTGGCATTATTGGTCATTATATATGGATTATAGTATCATCCAGAAGCCTGTACTGATATTTATAAATATGCTTCTTTTTAAAATATGAATAGTAATAATCAGTCCCTATTCCAAACAGTTTACAGTCTAAGAAGATAAGGTGACTGAAAGGGTGGAGATATTATCCTCACTTTACAGAGAAGGAGGGAAGGCACAGAGTAAAATTAAATTACACAGATGCTTTGTGGTAGAGCCAGGAATGTCTTCCAAATCCCAACCTACTGCCTTTATTACAAGAACAAATGTCTCCTTTTTGAAGGATGGATGACAGCTTTAGCAGGAAACCTTCTATTCTCTTAGGTTTGAGATTACTTTGTTTCCTTATTGCTTGTTTTTCTCCTCCTAAATAGGGAGAAATTTCATTTAACTTAAAGTACATTCCTTATTAGGAACCTGGAAAAAGAAGTAGTTCCTTTTTGGTCTAACAAAGCTTGGATATATTAACTGTGAGGGCATGCTGCATGGTGAATGTATTTTATTATGCTTTCCTTGAGGAATAAAATTAATTGGAGTTGAGGGAGGGAGAATATCTATCATGGTGGAGGAGGAAGATATGTGGATACTTACAGCAACAGAACATAGCAAAAAACTTTAAAAAAAAGTCTCCCCAAGAGGCAAACCAAAAGTAAGTTAACTGCTTTCTTAGATAGGAATATCTCCATTCTTTTGTAAATAAAGGCTTTTTATGCCATTTTAGATTGATATAGATTTAGATTTATTTCTTAAAACCTTTCTTTTATAAAATATTAAGAACTGAATAGTAAAGGTGAAAACATCCTTTGTGTATGACTTAGTATTTGATGACTCTTCTTTTTTGCTGAAACACTTGTACATCAAAGGATAGTGCAACCAAACCAGTTGATTAGCAAATAAAGAAGTATTCAAATAGCATTAGAAAACGGTGTTAGGAATCCCAGATGCCTGCATCCAACATGAGAAGTTGAAAAAGGTATCTTAAAACTGGGTTACACTCTACCACACAACTGGTATGTTCTCACTGGTAGAGGAAGTGAAAGTGAGGGTGCTATCATTGCCTTTGCTAGAACGCATTGTGTAGGTTGTAAATGGTTACAAAGGTATAACTGGGGAGAGCTATTCTAGTTTCATGAGTGCATCAGAACCTGCCCATTACTAGGCTTAGTTATTAGACAAGGGGCTGGAGAGGAGATCCTAATTGTACACAAATGTAATTTTTAAAATAATAAATGTTATGCATGGCTACCAATATTTTTAATGATGCGAGTTACCGTGTGGGTTATAGTCCTAAACCATTTGTTTATTTGTTATATTTCAACAAGTTATTCAACCCATGGCTTAGTTTCCTCTGCTACAAATTCTAAACAGTATTTGCTCACAGTTGAAAACTAAAAGCACAATGGAACTATAAAATGGTGTTTAAGATGCTCGTTTTTACAAATATAATCATAGATGTATCATTGTAATATATTGAGGGAGATAAGTTTCAGAATACATTGAGCCTGTAAATATTACCTGGTTAAATACATTTTGGACTGGTGTTTCAATTGATTGCAAGTTTCTGTTGAGTAACTTGTATTCTCTTTTTGGTATTGTTTTGGATATGGTACAAAGACAAAATGCAGCTGGCATGCTTTTCAGGGTTGTGGACATTACTGGGAATGATGGGTGGTCGTCCCTAGAAATTGGTCCAACATGTTTCAACAATTCTGTAGAGTTGCCTCTTTCCTTTGACTCTCAATCCATATTAAAACAGTGTTTCCTAAGGTGAAAAGAGAAGTCTGTCAGGAATACAGCCAGTTGAAACAAAGCAGAAAGAAATCTAAGGTGTCTCTTTAGCACTTGAAATATGCACCCATTTCTTTTTGGCTCATTTTCCTCCCAGTATTGAGGTTGAATGTGACAGCAAAGAATGCAAACAGTAAATGCTTCTCCCTATCTCTTCTTGCAGGCCTAAACAGCAACAGCAGAACACGTTTTCTCTCTTTCCTTCTTCTAAAGGCTGGAATTTCAGAGGGGTAAGTTTGGGATTTTATTTTGTTTTGTTTATGTTCTTTCCAACTCTCACTTCCTTTTCACCCCACCTCATTGCACTTTACAATTACGATCAGAGAGACAGAATACAGGAAGTTTAAAATCTTCAGGCTGTTAAAAAGCCTCTCTACCTACAATTTGTATATGTGTAATATTTGGAATTCATATTGGAGCTCAGGGGATTGTGTTGTAATTAGAGTGGGGTAACATGATTGTTGTGTTTTTTTCTTTTGAAACCTGCCTCTGTTTGTTAGAATTGCCCAAAAACCATATTGTATAATCGATTATGAGCAAGGGAAGCCAGGTGGTTCTGGGTTCTGTTACTGTTCTGCCAATGATTGATCTGATCAGGTTATGTAACTCTTTTTAGACATTCACTTTAAGATCATGTTAAGATCACAGTGATGACTCGCAAGAAACTGCTCTTATATGCAAGACAAGATCTGGAAGAAAGATGTGCCTCTTGCATACCATATCTAAAACATTTAGGCCTCCATTCTACAAAGCGCTTATGTCACGTGTTTCATTCTATTCCTGTTCAACAAAGCAGTTAAACGTGTGTGTCACAGAGCGGGGTCCTGGGGGTGGCTGTGTTCTCCCCTAGCACCCCCTACCATGCCAAGTTTACTTCAAGCACCCTCAAATCTCGCCCGCCACGTCTTGAACTTAAATATTAAAGGGAGGCTGCCTTTCGTTCTCTTGGTCATGGATTTCTCCTGCTGTCACTTGTTCTTTTAATGGGGTTCCCATGCACGCTGGCCTTATTGGCAATGCATAGCTCCAACCGCCCCGTACCACACCCCAAGCCTCGCAGATGTATCGGACGTTGTTTCATCTGTTTCACTCTCGGTGCCCTCTGGCACTCAGGCTCTCCGCAGCCCCTTGTCTCTCTCGGCGCCTTCTGGCACTCGGGCTCTCTGCAGCCCCTTGTCTCTCTTGGCGCCCTCTGGCGCTCGGGCTCTCTGCAGCCCCTTGTCTCTCACCCTGCGCCCCACAGGCGCTCTGGCTTGTCTCGCAACTGCGCCCCACAGGCGCTTAACAATCGCTGCCCCCTTTGCTCTGGGGCCTTCTCGCGCTGCCCCCTTTGCTCTGGGGCCTTCTCGCTCAGGTGTCCAAAGCCATGCCTGGCCCCCAACTCTCCTTCTCGGGTCTCGAATCCCCGCAGATGGGCTCAGGTGGCTGTAGCCATGCCTGGCCCCTTTGCTCTAAGGCTGGGGTCTGCACACCCCAAAAATGCTGCACCCACTCTGGCGCCTTTCTCGCTGCCCCCCTGTCTGGGGCTGGGGTTCCCACGCCGCTGTGGGTCCCCTATTGAGGCCTCCTCCAACCCCTAATAGCTTCACCCAAACCACTGGTTGTAAACAGTAAATAGAAAGCTCAAGCCCCTAGGCTGCAACATAAATTCAAGCCGCTTGGCTATAACAGTCCCACCACATCAGGAGTGCTCTATCCTTCCCCCAGTCTCAAAGCTGTACCTGCAGTCTAGCCTCTCCTCTTTGTTCAGTCCGGCAGAGCTCCCTCCTCTATGGCTGCTGGCAGGGAACTGCCTGGCAGGGAACTGCCTGCCTGGTCTCAGCCTGGGTTTAAATGGGAGCCAGGCCCTTCCCCTTCCTGTCAGCTGACTCCCACCGATTACCCTGGCAACCAGCAGCTAGGCTCCTTACTTGCTGCTCCACATGTAGCAGGCATCTCAGTGTCCTGCTACAATGTGCATGTGTTTTGCACACTTTGCTGTAAGTGTTTTAAATGGGATAGTATAGTTGATTGGTTGAAGTATGTATTCTCATACGGATTCCCTTATTCAATGTTTGTAATAGTAACTTAATAATTAACATGAAAATAATTTGATAAATTTCCTCTTTTTAACTTTTGTCAGTTCTTACATGCATTTACTTTTAGACTGTAAATAGTCAAGCCAGTTTTAATTTTGTCTGTATCCAGTTTTTATTTTTATAAATTTGTTCTCATATCTGAATTAAGGCATTGCAGTAGTGGGATTGCAAATGTTTCAGGGCAGGGGTGTGTTGTTTTACCAAACCCTTTCTCAACGAAACTAAAGTAGTACAACTGTTTCTATAACATTTTAACTGGTTTTAAAATTTAAAACCTAACTTGACTGGAGTGTTCCAAAGCTCTAAATGATCTAGGAAAGCACTCAAATCTGCCTAAAGAGGAGTGGGGCAGTTGGGTGGGTCTAGACTCTAGAGGAAGAAGGAGTAAAGCAGGAGCCAGGAAAGGAAGCATGGGGAGGAGGGAAAGAAGAGATAGGGGAATGTGAAGAGGAAGCAGGGATCTTTGGGGAAGGAATGGAGATAGGGTGGGAAAAGCAGTAAAGTGGCTGAGGGTGGAGAGCAGGGAGCAGGGCTGTTTATAGCAGACTAAAGGAGACTGTTAGTAAAAAAGAAGTCTTTGAATTGCTTAATTTGTTTTAGAAAGCAAAGGTATATGAACATTTTCTGGTACCTTATTTTTAGGGAGGTTTATAAGACTGGCAGAGATATTTAGTGGTGGCAGCTTTTCATAAAATGCAGCTACAGTAACAATTACCAGTATTAAATTCTTGAAAAGGTTTGGGTAGGTACCTCTAAATAAACAAGGAAACACATGCATCAGTAATTTGCCTAACTTGTCTGGAGGCTGAAATACTCAGACAATGGAATACTGGACAAAACAGAGCCAAATTTCTGTCAGCATTTGCAATTCTTTGGAACTAGTTTTACTTTGATGGATGGGAAAAGTATGTTATGAAAAGCTTGGTGAACTGACTTTGGGTCAGTAAGGTTTTGGTACAGAGAGTGAATAAAAAGGAACTTTGATGTCTTTTCAAACAGGAGTAAAATCTTAGTGGGCAAAAGGAAAAGCTGAATTGATGCTGATGACAGCAGTGAGTTTTTGGTGCTGTCACCCTTGGGCTGAATGGGCAAAACTGAGAAGCACTTAATCTGATTTGTTCGGTGCTGATGATTTGTTGAAAACTTTTAGGTTCTCTCTAGATCACATGTTATAATATCAGATTATTTCAACAGCCCCAAATCATGAAAACAGAAGAAAATGGCACAAGCATAAAATTAAAATATTGTGCTCATTCTCTGATCTTCATTTGGCAGTCAGCTCAGTAGTTTAAAACATCTATACCTAACACTATTAAAATGGTTCTGTTAAAGCATCAATCAGCATACACCAACATAAACCACAGAGTGCAATAAGGAAGGACCGGATGTTAAACATTAACCAAAGGAAAATCCTCTTTGCTTCTATCTTCTACTCATAGTTAAATGAATCTGGTTTTCAGGGGAAATTTTTTCCATGTCATTAGCAATTAGAGCCTTGTGGGTAGGGGCCAACAGAATTTCATATTTCTTTTTCTTAATGGGAATTTCCATATCTCTAACAGTCACAAAATGTTACTAAACTTAGTGCTACATGTGTGCAGTCATGCATGTGTGTCTAAGCAAAACAAGACTTTACTTTTCAAGTCGATGACGTTTCATTGTCCATAATGTGAGCACTTTCGGACACCACAGCAGGTCAGTTCCAGAATTTTAGGGAATGTTCTAGGCATCAGTGGCAGATCCCTATCAATTTTTTGGATGTAAACTGGAGGAAACCTGATTTAGAGGAAAACAAGGCCCAGGAATTGCCCAGCACTTTGTGCTCACAGATGCTGCACACACACATCAGAGGTAGCAGCTTCACTTGTTCTTAAAGAGGCCAATTATGGAGCCAGGGCTTTAAAAGACAAAAGTAAGCTTTAGTTGATGGGGTCTAGGGTGGAGATTGAGATTAGTGGGGGAGGCAACATGGGAGAAGGACAACAAAGGCAGAATGATTGGGTTAATGACAACGGGGGAAACAAAAACCTGCAGGTGGAGGAGCAGTGGCAAGTGGTTAGATGCTGAACCAGGAACTCAGAGGACTGTGGGAGGAGGCAGAGAGTTGTGAAAGGAGGGCTGAGGGATCCAGAAGGGAGAGGAGGGCAGAAAAGAGGGAAGTGAGGATCTGGAGAGGAGGAGGAATAGGGAGGAAGCAGCAGTCCCGTGGCAAGTGCTGGACGAAAGTGGGGACCTGGAGTGGGGGGAAGTCTGGGGGAAAGAAGGACCCTGGGTGAGGGACTGAGTAGCAGTGAATACAACTTGGGACACAGAGGCAAGTGGACATGATTGCAGTGCTGAAAAAGTAGGTGGATATGGGTGTAGGGACTTGAAAATTTGGGGGGAGGGGGACAGAGCTGGGACTTCTTATAGCGAATCCTTGGTTTATCAGTTCAGCCTTTGCAAATATTGACTCTGGAAGGAAGAGATTGCTATGTCAGTGGATGGGGAGCAATTCCTGCCAAGGCTTGGTAATAGGATAAAGGATTGTTTTGGTATGAACTTCTGGTGTTGAGTGCAAAGGGATTTAGGAGGCAGGTTAATGAACAACTATGGGGTAAAGGGCTATGTAATCTGGGACATGGGGAAGTCTGCAATTCTCTATAATCTCCATTTCTGCAGCACCCTGTTCCCATTATCTCACCCTCTCCCCCCGCCCCCCCAATCTATCTACTCCCTAAATTGCTGCAGGCAGGGGAATTTCTTTGGCATTCTCTGTTGCTGCCTTAACATTGCAGGCAGCGCTTAACATACCACCATCTTGCATTGAGTGTACCACTTGGCAGTGGCATAACTGGGGGTGGGAGGGTTGATGGGGCAAACAACCCTGGGCACCAATGTGTGTGGGGGAGGGAAGATGTGAAAAAAAAGTGGCCTCTGTTGGCAGCTGTGTGTTCACATTTGTGGTTGTTGTGGCAACCAAAAGTTGCCACTTCTGCTTTGCCCTGAACATCTGGCCACATTCCTACACTGCTGCAGCTTGGCTTATATGAACAATGAAGTGGATGACCTTCTGTCATAAATATATAATACATATATGTAATAGATATGTAAAGTTATATCTATATGTAATAATTACAAACAAAGCATTTTGTTAAAATTAAGTGTGCAGA